ACTGCCTGAGGATCAATTTGAAGAACATTGACTGAAATGGTAAAAGATTTAGGTTTTTTTTTTTTGTGGAAGAGGTGAGGATTTTTATTCTGAAGAGAGAACAATTCATGGAAGTTATGGCATTCATCTTCAAATCTTCACAGACAAGTTGGGTTATGGAGCTTTTATAACTATCAAAAGCAAAAAAAAAATAGCCTATTTAAATATAAGGACAAAATTCCAAAAATGTAAATTTTTGGTTAAAATTACTAGGTTAAAATTACAGACCATGGTGGATGTCTAATGCCAAGAGTTCACAGTTACAACCTAGGACTAAGGCAGAGGATAAAGGGTTTGTTAGGAGGTGAAGGTGAGATGAGCCTTAAGCTGGACACACCATATTCCATGATGAGTCTCATATCAGATTATGGGTACAGATATGGCTAAGAAAATAAGCTGAGAAAGATTACCATGATCCACTTGTTTGACAGATTAATTCAGTGAAATATAATTGGTGGTGTAGTGAAACAATGAAGTGCTTTTCTACTATTTTGAAACATACAAAATGGAGAAAGTGGGGGAATAGTCTGCTATCCTGTGTAGTACTGCAAATGTTCTCAATCAATCAGTCCATATTTTTCAATTTATTTGAAGCTTGATAATCACTATTGAGTATGTTTCAGAAATGGATCTAGAATATAGCACCTCCCAAACTGCTTAACAAACAGTGGGTATCATTGGCTGAACAAATGAATGATGGGGACATCATTTGCTGAAGAAGTGAATGACTAATATCTTTCCTTATTGAGTGATGTTGACTGGCTTCTAATTGGCTTGAGAACAGAAGCAGTCAATATCCATTAAATGTAATTTTAAGACTCCCTCCCCCCAAATTCAACACTACTGAAGAAGTCATGGAAGCAGAAGGCCTAATAGCAATGAAGGAGATCTGTCATCTTGTAGAGGAAGGCTGCTCTCAGATGACATGCAGTATTTGCTGGAGAGATAGAAATGTTTTAGCTCCATGATCTTCAGGGCAATGCTTCACAACTGGGACAGGAGGAATTACTTAAATAACAGCATTTCACTGGAAAAAATGCTGCTTCTACATGAAAATTTATGGAATATATTCAAGACATTGAGTTCCTTCTCTCTATTTGAATCTTTAGTCTTAATCTCAGGAGACTTATGGTTCAAATGTTTTCCGTTTCATAAACCACAACTCATTGGTTAAAAGATTATTGGGCGAGGAATCATTTATTTAAAATTTAAAGACTTTCCCCTTCTTTCTTACTTCCTGGCCTTTCCATGACCATTTTGTATTTTCCCATCTGTTTTCCTAATAGGCCATTTCCAAGTTCTCAAACTCTACTTTTCAATTTGTTTCTCTGAAATAACCAAGTATTAAACACACCATAAACACCATCATTTCCAAAAAGTTAGAATGATCCTTGCATCTGTGGCTAACACAATGATTTTGCAAGGGCACATTCATCGCAGTGTGTGCCTGAAAGAATAAAATTTCTTGATGCTTAAAACAGTCAATTCAACTTGTAAACCATGGTGGTATTTATTCTTGATAACAAATGCATTTCTAGTGAGAACTATGGCTGTTCTAACACAAATGGTGTGGTAACTACCTGATGGCTGATGCATTCCCATTGATTAGCTGACCACTATGACTTCAGAATGAAGGTATAAAAAACACCAAAATCCTTTTAATTACCCCACATAATAGCCATCAGTTCTGGAAATGCCATTTAGAGACAGTCTCTTTGTTTGAACTTCAGCTGCTGAGTTTTTGTTATTGGACGTTTTCAAGTTTCTTTAAATCATCAATTGTTTTCATTTAGAGTATAGGATCATAGGCTTGCTCTTTTGCAGAGAATGAAGACTTGCCTCATTTGTACATATTTAGAGTATGAGTATATAAAGTGTCGCTTGTTACGACAGGCATCTGAAAGGGCCTTCCTCTATATGCTGCAGCATACATTGTATATAGAGCATGTATACCATACAGGATGTAATAAATGACTAGAAAAGTTAGATATGACTCAGATTTCTGTTCATTGATAATAATTACTTCCTTGTAAATACTTTTACCAGTTGAAATATCTTTTTAGAGATAAGGTCACACTATGTTGTAGTTGGCCTAAAGCTGGCTATGTAGATCAGCTGCCCTCTAACTCACAGAGATCCACCTGCCTCTGCTTCTCAAGTACTTGGAATAAAAGTGTACACCATCAATTCTGGCTCTGGAAGAATTTTAAAGTCTATTAGAATTGTAAGATGTCATTGTTAAGCACCATTAAAATCAGATGCCTAAAAAATTACCATTCATTCAAAAATTTACCTTAGTCTTTCCAAAGGGATATTTGAACCTCTTTGATTTGATACAAAAATAAAATTAAATTTAGGAAATCCAAACAAATTTCCCCATTAGCAATTGATATCATCGTCATTCCATTTTATCTTTTAAATGGCATTACCAGACAGTACAAATTTAAAAGCAAAATGATGTTTTCTAAATAAAATACAAGAAAGAGAAGACACCTAAGCACTGTACAAGGTTTTTCTAGTCTGTGTTTTCTGTAATGCTAAACAAATTGAATTTATTTCTGTTCTAAATAAAATTCAGCTAAGTGCTAGATTAAAAACAATTTGTAATTTATAGGAAAGAGTCAAGTTAGCCTAAAATTTTATTTCAGTAAAAAGCTTAGAGTTTTGAGGAAAATCTGCAGTTTTGGTGGTTACGATGTCCAGTGCAGGGGGTGGAAAGAAGTCCCCTTACTATAGTGACTTAAAATGAAGACAACTATTCTAGCAGTAAAGCTTGGCAAGATAATTAAATGAATGATAACAAAATCTCAGCAGGGAAGTACTCATTAATTAAATTTATTTGGGAGCAAATATAACCAAATTATCAAATTTCACTCACATTATAAAGTGATAGTCTATAACAACTAATTACTGGAAATAAAAGGCCAGTAGTTTGAAACACTCACACAGACGTAAACAAAATTGCAAGCATCAAAGGACTGTCATGGTTATTGACAGCTTCCGAGGAACTCCATTCATCATCTAGTCTTGAGAAAATACTTCAGTGAGACTTGCCAAAGATAAGACACCAGTGATTCTGAAGCTATTGTGCCTGCAGCGCTGGGACCAGTTACCCCCTTCTTTGTCTCTTTTCTGAATGTTAATATGTGTATCAGTACGACTATACCAACAGTTGTGATGATTGCTTTTGTAAATACAGTTATAAGAATTGAGCATTGGCATTCCACTTCTGCAACAGAATCATACTGTGCACTTTGACTCCCTAGTATTGCGTATGGCTGGAAATTCTTTTAAAGTTTGTGTAGTTGTTTTCCTTTCCTATGTGTCAAAAGGTCTGCAGTAAAGTATGTTCTGGATCAACTTTTAGATTGGAAATGACTGAAATAATTTCTGCTTTGAGCTGAAAAAGTCTTTAAATTGGATATTTTTGATGATTCAGAAAATTATATTCCAAATTACATGAAAGATAGTGATCAAATTTCTTGAATATCTATAGCAAATTTGATTTTATTCACATTCAACATATTCCATAACATTTAAACTAGTAAGTCTGGAATTCAAGGTTTCTAAGCTCATACTGCAAATAACATAAATCTTTTGGTGAATATTGGTGAAATTATATTTAAAAACAGCAAAGATTTTGGTTTGATGTCAGTATGAATTGTAAGAATCCTATCTTTGTTTTTTGCTATTAATTCCAATCAAGAAAATCTGAACTAATAAATAATGCTAAATATTTATTTAACATTAGTGTTCACTTTTCTCCCCATATAAAATTATCTTCTAGATAAATACAATCCAAACAAATTAGATAAAAATGTCAAAGTTTTACTTTAATTTAAAAATTATATTTCATCTTTGCAGACAGCTAATGAGAGATATCATTTCTTGTTCTAGAAGCCAGTGTTGGTAATAGCTAAACTAGCTACTCACATGGCTTCACAATCCTTTTGCCATATCACCAGAGGGCAGCCCTAAAAGCTGGCTGCTTTGTCTTCCTACCATTTAAGAAACAATCAGGTTATACTCTATTTTATAAAGTTTTTCACAAAATTAATATAAAGAAAGAACTGTACTTTAGAGAAATGCAGTATGTTTTCATAGTAAGAGCAACCACTAAAACATAATAGGAAGAAGTTACCAAGTGAAGTAATTAATGGGTATGAATGTGGTCATTTGTAACTTATTTTGCTGCCACTTCTATTTATGATATTATTGTTTGCTTAATATAATAAAGGATGGTTTGTCAATTAAACAGTGCTACAGGGTCTCCACAATTCTTTTTGCTCATTTTCAGTAGCACTTCAAAGTCTAAAGCATGATCAGATCAGTCAACAAAGGTAAGTAGACAACTCTGGATTTTGAAGATTTTGCTTATGATAAAAAATTTTGTTTTAAGTGGAACAATTCAAACATTTTATTGGTATTTAGTATTTTGGAGTAGAAGCTATAATCATATATGTTTCTTGTAGTAGATTTTTACCTTTTAGTTTTCACTTAATATCTTTCTTAACACTTTCAAAATTCTCTTGAAGGAGAACACTTTTTTAAAAAGTATGATAATCTAACCACTCTTGAATTATGAACAGAGATACCTTACTTCATGACATATTGTACCTTTTTTTCTCTTTTCCAATAGATTTTTCCCCTGGTGAGCAAACCGGAAGTTGTATTTTTTAAATGAAAACAACAGATGCCATGTTTGGGAATGCCTTCCTTGGGGAAGGGGTATTTAAAATTATAAAAGTAATATTTTTCATGAATTTCTGGAATTTCTAAGCTAGTAGCACTGAAATTTCAAAATAAGACCTGCTTTTCAATACACAGCTGTGTTTTCTACTGCTGCCTATGTTTCTTCAAAATTCCAGCTATTCTAGAAAAATGACACTGAGACAATCTCGTTTCTTTTGTTTTTGAGTTCTTTTTTGGAAAAAAAAACAAAATAAAAGACAAAACAGCAATAAAGATTTTAGCTCTTTAATGAGCAAAGACCATGTCTCTTAGCATTTGACTAATTGTCATTATCCAGATTATCTTTATTTCACCCAAGGACCACTGATGTGGTCGAGATAGATACACAAAGTTCTTCCCATCAAGTAGTATACAAGTGTTTTCTTTTGTATAATAAGCTTTCAATTCTTGAAAAAGGGTAGCTGGAAAGAAAGGTTTCTGTTACTTCAGTTAGTCAGAGAAAGTCCTTTTCGCGTTATCTTACAAACTATCAAAATTGCTAGTCATCTGAAAAAAGGTAAAAAAAAATCACATAACTTTAGTCTAATAGAAATATAGTACAGATAAGAGAGAAATCATTTATCAGGATGTGCTCTTTAAGTCCATCTCATCTTTTAATATAAATGTACATCTGATTACATATACAAACATTTGGAAAGGTCTGTGGTATACTGATATTACTGGTAAACAACAGGGGATTCAGAGTTTCCTGTGGTCTTAGATAATTCATTTTAAATTGCACATGTGTGAAAGACAAACCCTCCAGCTGTTGACTTTCCTAGGTTCTGCACCTATATTGTCCTCTACTGAGATCTCATGAGTAAATTCAAGTTAGCCTCAGTGAGAAAGAGAAGCAATGTGAAGAGGGACTGAACTTTATATTGAATTATTAGTAGTAAGCATTTTGTCATGCAACATGAGTAAATCAATTAACTGAGAACTGTAATCAGAGCAATACTATTGGGGCATCCTTACACCCTGAAAAACTGTGGCAATTTATCTTACCAAAAGGGACAACCTTCTGAGTAACAAACCTGCAGCAAATTAGAGATCCACAGCTAACACATGTCCAATTAGATTGTGTATCTATAAATTACTTATATGGGAATGAAAACAAAATTTAAAAAATCATAGGAAATTTTCTGGGACTCATATCAGCAAGTATTCATCACTGTACCTATAGATTCTCCATTTTCTTTAATAACTATTCCCTCTATTATCGAAACTACTGCAAATTATTTTATTGTAATTATTTTGCCCCTTATAAAATCTTCTTTAGGTTCTACCAATTGATGGAGGAAGCTCCTATTAAAAACTCCAATGGGATGAGAAGAATTTTAATTACGACTTAATCAGCAGCACAGCCACCAAGCATATAAATTATCATGCACATCGTGCTAAAAAGATCCAGTCTCCTTGATCCCCACGACTTAGTACTGACAGCACTTATGTGATAATGTTGTACCCTGCCAGTCTTTAAACTTCTTTTATTTTTTACTGGCAATTTCAGCATGAGCCTTTGTCATTAACAGCATCGGTGCTCTGTGTACTTATGCAAATATGGTCTACACAATAAAAGGGCTCCAAATGAAAACTGACGAAAATTATCTGACATTCCATTGGTGTGTCCCTTGTGCATATTCATAGTTGATTTTATTTTTGCTTTTGTTTTTTTTTATTTTTTAAAGTATTTCAGACACAGTACTTTCCTGTTTGGTGTTCCACATGCCTAATTCCAGTATGTAACTTAATCTTCAACAAATTAATTCTTGAATGTGAATGAAAAGGTATCATTCAGAACAATTGCTTCAAGCAATTGAAATTTGTTTTGTTAAAGTTGATTTGTGTGTATATCTATATACAATTCATTTTTCAAAACCCCCAAGTTCTTGATATGTATATTCACATAATATTCCTCCTTAGTTAAATAGTGAGAGTCTTCCAAGTTGAAAGCCAAGGAATCTTCAATAATCTTTTACTGCACTCCATCAGAAAAAAAAATCAGTTTGTTTCTCTCATCTGGCTATACCCTGGTTGTTGAATGTGAATGAGGGTGGGGGTGGGGATGGGGCAGTGTATTGTTCTGTCCTCCAGTAAATGTGTTGAATGTGTGTAAGGGCTGAATCCCTGGTATAGTATTGGGAATCATTGTGATGGTGTTAGGTGTCATTAAAGGAACATCATCAGGTGACCTCCTCATAGCTAGGGTATAATCTGGGGGGCAGGAGGTCCTAAGAACCACCTCGTGGGGATGGATGGACTCACACTCATGCTCCAAGTCAGTGTGCTTCATTTGGAGGGACATGATCTCTTCTTCTGGAGCATGAGTCAAGTCGTTGGTTGCTGTGCGCTGAGGGCTGCACCTACGGTGGACGTCATGTCTCCTCTTATCCTTCTTGTAGTACAGTGCTGCGAAGGCCAAGATGTTCAGAAACAGCAGAGATGCTCCCACAGCAATGGTGACACTCAGCTCTGTGGAGTAGTCCCTCTGGTCCACCGAGAAGGGACTGGGTTGTTGTTTGGGATCATCCTGTTTGGCAGTGGGAAAGGCTGATGTGACAGGTGTGGAATTCTTCCTTGTAGGTCTGAGAGTGATGTCTGTTGATGGCACTTTAGTTGTTGTCGAGGTATACTGAGAAATGTCATTCAGATTATGCAGATGAGGTACCAGCTCCAACCAGAGATTCACCTTATTGGCTCTGTAATGCTCTTTGACTCTTGGTTTTAATCCAATATGGAGATAAAGTTGGTCTTTCTGCGAATATCTGGTCCATGCTACTTCTTCAAATCGGTTGGGTTTGGTATGAATGAATTTTGTGTCTTGAGGAACTGGTTGATTCGGGTCACTAGGAAAAGGTGTGGGAAGACAAGAAAGAATCTATGAGTACAATACATTTTACCTTTTTCCTTAGTCAAAATACTATGTTTAATGTCTAATTAAAGAGTTAACTCAGCAAAACATTAGATTATGTTTTAACATTTACTTGCCTCCATTTAGAAATTTAAGTTAAAAAATGATGTGGATGATAAATGTAAAGCCAGTAAATTTCACATTCTTGTTCCATGATCATTTAGAGATGAACTACCATCTATACAAAGTGTTTTTAATTATTTTACGTCCCGAAAAAAAGCTTACCAACCTGAGTCTGGTCCCTGGAATCAATGCAAAGTTTGGAGGAAAGAGCAAGCTCCACAAAAAATTCTCTTCTAACATCTACAAGTACACCACAGGACTTCTTCCCATGAACATATAATATATGCTGGAGTGTTTGCACGCACACACACACACACACACATAAATCATAGTAACCAAAAATCTAAAGTATTTAATATTCACATAATAGGTTTAACTTTTCTCAAGGCAGTGCAACAGAAATGGCATTGCATCAAAGAGTGAATTCAGGATTTGTGACTCGAATATGAAGAGATGTATGTCATCACAGTGCTTACCTACACTACATGGGAGTATTTATCTGAACTGCCAAAATCTCAGATTCCTTTCTGTGTTTAGTGAGAGCCATAGAATCCAAGATGAGTGACTAAAATGCATACAGTATTATGAACTGGAAAGTACTAGGACACAGTGTTTGTCACTAATGAAAACAGTGATTCTATAGCTTATGCCAGTGAGAAGCCAAAGTAATATTGTTCTGGAGTAATGAATTAAAGATAAAATAAACTTCAAAAATTCAGAAGTTGTAAGGTAATAACTACTGAAAACACTATAATTTAAAAGTAATTTTTATTATGAGGTTAATATGCTGCTGGTGTTGAAAAATTACATTGGCCTAGGAATGTAGCTTAGTGACGAATTGTGTTTTGGCATGTGAAAAGTCTTGGTTTCAATCTCTGGTATCATAGAACAAATAAACAACATACACAAAAAATTATATTAGACAATTTATACAATATGTAATTGTTCAAGAATACTTAAGATGGTACTTCTTATTAAAATTATAACAAAGTTCATTTCTCAGATACATACCCTGTTTTAGCAAAATTCGTCCAATATGTCATTACTACTGCACTCAACATCACATCATTCTTGGAGAAATTGCAAGGAAACAACTCTGTAGGGCCAATCATGGGGATTCCCAACACATAGGGAACCTCATCTCCGTGAGCTGCATCAGCCCAAGCTGGAACTTGATCTGTTTGGCAATGATGATAAAAGGCATAGAAGTATGTAGGTGAACCAAAGTTTGAGTGAAGGTCTGCTGTAGCCACAGCAGGTGCTACCCACTGATGGTCTGTAAACAAAGCCAACAATGTCTTCCTTCTGGTTTCAGGGTTATGGCGATCAGCCCAGTCAGTATACATGAATTTAATGGTTTCTCTCAAAACATCTTTGCCTTCAGGATATCCATATAAATTATCAACAAAATTAGAAACAGCAAAGTCAAAATCACTGGCTGATATACCATCATCACTATCTACTATATTTTCAACAAACTTCAACCCTTCCCCTTGGTTTACTCCTAACATTATATCATAGTTGAGGAACTCTCCTTGTTCCATCAGTATCTGAGGATCATCTGGTATTACATCACCATCGATCACAGGTCCAAAGGCTATGTGGTATCTGGCTGGTTGAACATCTTGATCAACAAGTTCTTTGTAAGGCTTCTTCTGCAGGCATTCCACTAATTCTACTGTATCTGACACATTGCAGCCAACCTTTGTGGCCAGCATTCTAGCATATTTTGCAGGCTGGAAACTGACAGCCCAGCTTGAAAGGGCTGTTCCGCTCTGAGCTATTGCTCGTTGAAAAAGTCCTATGGGGAAATGAACAGAGAGTTTCAGGTGATCATTGAAGAATGTTATGGACCAAAATTAACATCTGATATTTTGACATGTATATAATATCCCAAGTACAACTCAAAAAAAAAAAAAACAGGTACATTATATCTAAGAAAAGGTACATAAAGTTATCCCCAGGGTATAAAACACCAGAGAAATTTGCCCAGGTCTTATAATTCCAGAAGAATTTGTCTTGAAATTTTGCAGTCACAAAAACACAGTGAGGAAGAGAGAAGTTGGAAAGCATGAGTGCTTAAAGGACTCAGATATTTGACTTCATGATTACTAGACATGATCATTAACAGCAACAGAACTCATGGATTCCTCTGCCTCTTTACCAGCCTGTATTGTCTGTTTGGAATATTTCTTTCAATTTGGCTACACATCTGTCTTTACTCCAAATGATTGTGTAACATTTGTTTTAACTAGATTTTGTTTGAAAAATATTATTTGGGACTCACACAGATATTAGGACTAGGGACTTGTCAATACCCTGGGGATGTCCCTAATATCACACAAACAGAATATAAATTATGACATACTATTACTAGATGTCTCTAGCAGATATTGTACAATGAATATTCATCTGAAGAAGACAACCTAAGAAGTGCTTCACTAAAAGAAAAACACAAGCAGGAACAGAATGAATGGGTAATTAAACTTTTTCTACTATTAAATTTGTGCTGCTGTATTTTATCATAAAACACACATATGGGCCAATTTTTTTTTTACTTGATTCATTTAAGAGCTATAAATTATGACTCTGCATGCAGTTTGGTAACAGATATATGCTATTGAAATTTACAAATACACTTGATTCACTAGAGTATTTGCAAATAGCATTCTTTAAAATATATAGGCTATCTATTTTTATTTAAAAATCATGTTGATTAACCACTTCTAGATTTGGGTAAGTTTTTATTCATTTAAAAACATGCCCAGTCATTCATATATGTTAAAAAGAATGTAGATCTTTACACACAATGTGGAATTCAGGTCTGAATTGGTTCCAGAGTTTCTCAGTATATGCATATGTACTTACATATGTCATTTATGTGTTTCTAGACAATTTTAAAAACACTCACATGGTAAGACAACACTGAATTAATTTTTTGGGTTTTTTTGATTTCTTGAATTCATTTTGCTTTGATAGAGCAAAGTTCACCAGAGCAAACTGTAAACATTTTGGCAATATAGCAAATTAGGGGCTGTTGATATTTAAGCAGACAAATAATTTACTAATTAAATATTTATGACTAAAATAAAACAGGTCATTAAAAATACTATTCTTTCTTATGCCAGGCAGTCAGTGACATTAAATATACCAACAGTTATTTGTCACATTATTTTAAATATGATTTGAAACATGGTGACTAAAAGATCCCAGGAAAGCCATTTATTTATTTTCTCTCTTGTGAGAAGGTTTTGATAAGTAAATGTGAGATGAGGGTTACTTCTGGAAGGTCCAGACCTGAGAAAGATGGATTCCATCATTGGATTTATAGTGTTACAAATACAGGTCTGCCTTGTAGAGACTATTTGACAATTTCAGGAATTGTCTATGCCCTTCCTGGTAGGGTCAGGCAGTTCTTGAGATACTTTTTAAACTAAATCAAACTCAAGTTTAAAACTCCATTCAGACACAGATACATTTCCTTAAGGAATGTGATGGATGGTGACACTCAGTTGTTGAACAATTTGTCACTGTTTGCTGTCCTGCCAAGTGATGAGCACCTGGTGAACCGAGCTGTCTCCTTATCCAGTGCTCTTGTAATACTGGCTGACACTGGGCCCATATTTGATCATCCCAATTGTTCTGTGTAGGTTGCCCAACACTAACTTAGACAATATTATCACTACTATGAATGGAAGAATCTGATCTGTTTAATTGTAAAAACTCTAACTTTATCACTTCAAAATAAGCCATTTTATTATAGAGCAACACACATACACAATTAAAAAGTGTTACATCTTTAAAGTAATGTTACTTCATATTTGATTCCTACTGTTGTTTAATGAGATGCCATGTAATCAATGAGAGTAAGTTAAGGGTATACAATATGAGACATACTTACTAATAATTAACTGTTCTCTTAGAATTCCAAATGTATCTTTGATAACTAAAACTGTGTTATGAGCATATACTGCCTGTTCTTGAGGCTGGGGAGATAGTTCTGTGTTAGCATGTCATACTTCATGCTCTTTCTGAGGACATACTCAGTTCCCAGAACCACTGAATTGTTCAGTGACTTGCAACCACCTGTAACTCTTATTTCCAGAGAATCTGATGATTGTAGCCTATGTGGGAAGTGGCATTTACATACATATGCCACCCCTTCACATACATATACATAATTACAAATTACAAATGTATTTTATTTTTGAAACTGATATTCTCTATGAATTTCACTTGACAATGAATAAGCTTCTTTCCTCACACATACAATAACAACTTGGAAACAGAAAATCAAAGATGGTCTTTGTTGATGAATACTCTGGTTTCTTCTTTGTTATATATAAATAATAGATGGAAAGCGTTTGCTTTTTGAATTCCTGCAAATAGCTCTTCTGTTCTTACATTTAATAATGGAATTGTAATCTAGTCAATAATGGAATTTCTAATGAGTGACTGAATGCCTAAGATGGCAGGCAATTTAGAGAAAGTACTAAAAGCCAGAAAATGGAAGTAAAAATATTTTGTGGACTAGAGAAGGCTAGTGTTCCATGCCAATTTTCTAAGTTTTAGGAGGAAATAAAACAAATTTGAGCTTAAAATAGAAAAACCACAAAACCAAATGTGTTTTTCTTTGTAATCAAAGGCTCTACTAAAGACCTCAGTGCTTTGACAATTTTGGATCACGCATGCAAACTAATCAAATATCCATTCTTTCCTTAGGCAGAAGAAGAATCACATGTTTCCAAACAAACTAGTTTTTGACTGCCTCATTAGTCCCATACTAATAAAGAGTTTCAAGTATCGGTGTCCCTATATTTAAAATACTTGATTTTGATTACTGCTAAATGGAGAGGACAGTGTTGAGAGTATCTCTGACTTTCCCTCAAATCACCATTTGACAAAAAAGAAAATGACTGCAATGCTAAGCATTATGAAGTGGACTTGGAAGAGCATCTTACCCAGATCCACAAAAGACAGAGAAAAGAGTCTGACAGAAACATAAACATGCACAGAAAGGCTAAAGAAACAGGAAACAGCTTTAAACAGTTACTAAGCCCAACCTAACACTCAGCTGGAACAGAGAAATATCTACAGAGTATCACGTAGTACTGATGGTGGTGGCATGCAGACACCAAAATTGTCAAAATTTGCAACCTGCATAATACCTTTGGTTGAATTGCTCCAACGGTTACCTTCAGAATAATGGGATAAAGTCAGCAGGTTGACACATGAACCCCCAGCGCCTGATCCAAACACAGTGATTCGCAAGGGGTCCCCACCAAAGAACCCAATGTTCTCGCTAGTCCATCTTAGGGCTTGGATGAGGTCAAGGAGCCCGTAGTTTCCTTTGGCAGCCTGATCACCTGTGCTCAAGAAGCCTGAAAAACACAAGAAGAAAGAAACCTTAGGATGATTGTTGCAGTTAATATGAATTAAACGTAGATCAAGTTTAAGTTTTACGAGGCTTGTCCTCATCACCATAAAAAAAACAAGGTGTTTCCATTCAGGTAAAATCAGTGATCTTAGGAAGAATAGTAATGACTGAAACAGGCAAAGTGATGTTTATCTTCCCTAAATGCTTCCCAATTTATACAAAGAACAAGTCACAAAGATGAGCAAGACAATGGAAAAGTTTGACAGACACAAGGACACCCATTGCCAGAGGCCAGACAGGAAAGCATGTAGGGTAACTTATAAGACTGTCTATTTTGTACAAATGACATGCTTCTCCCCAAGTTGCTTGTGCTTGAACCTGGCCAGAATTCCCATGTGGAATGGTGTGTACAATGTATGGAGGTAAGAGGTACTTGCCTAAGCTTTGTGTGAAAAGAAGTTTAGGGGTTTCCTGAAACTCTAAAGCAATTCTTTGCATGTGTGTATACCTACACATGTTTAGTGTGATGGGCCACAGGTAAGGAGTGACTATGATAGTTGTGCTGTAAAAACACGTACTTTGGCCAGTATAGAAAAGCAAAGGCTTTGGGAGTGTTCAGACCCTGATCATTTCTAGAATGCTCAAAACTGCAGACCTGATATGTAGAGCAATCAGTGTATTTTGACAAGGAAAAGAGTGGAGGGACCTTACCTTACAAGATATCATAGGTAACTGGAAAGGGATATATTTGAGCTAAGTGTGGTGGGCATAGATGTAATCCCAACACTCCAGATTCAAGGACAGCCAGTCTACATAGGAAGTTCCAGGCCAGGCAGTAAACATGTAAAAATACCACAGCAATAAGAGATACGTGATTTTCTTATAACTGGAAAGTATAAATGGAACCATTTTAGAACTATTTTTAACATACTCCCTTTTTGCTAACATGGTTGATGTTACAATGTAAAACAGAAAATGGAAAGTACTACATAAAATATTGTATTTTATGAACTATGCATATTTATGAAAAACAATGCCTCAACCTGGACGCTATGGAGCAGAGTTACTCTCTTGTTATATATAAATTGATGAGTAATACTCAGAGGTTCTCAGCAAGTTTATGGAATTTAATTTTAAGCCCCTTAGTCAATGCAGATATTGGCTGAACCAGATGAGTCAATATGTTGATTAAAACACTTGACTTGATTTTAAATACACATTTGTCTTGGACACACAGCTAGGAAGTCAATTTTATTTGTGAGAAGAAAAACTATGAGAATAGTACATATAAATTTATCATAAAAATTAAAATATGGACAACAATTTTTTTGGTTTTTCGAGACAGGGTTTCTCTGTGTAGCTTTGGAGCCTATCCTGGCACTCACTCTGGAGAACAGGCTGGCCTCGAACTCACAGAGATCTGCCTGCCTCTGACTCCTGAGTGCTGGGGTTAAAGGCATGTGCCACCAACACCCGGTTTAAAAACAACAATTTTTTAAAAATTATTTTATGTATATGCACATACATGTGATGCAGGCACACAGGTGACACAGAATACATGCAGAATTCAGGGCAACTTTGGAAGTTGGTTCTTCTTGCATCCTGGCTTGTTGATATAGTGTGTCCTGTGTGTCTGGTACCATGCACTGGATTTTCAGAAGCTTAGCCTATGAGCTTGAAGAGGATTCTACCATCTACCATCAGGCTTCTATTTTGACATTGTAGGCATCCTGGGATTACACACCACTGCATTTGACTTTCTACATGTATCTAGGTGATCAAACCTAGGTTCCCTGGCTTGCTCACTTTACCCACTAAGCTATCCTCAGGCCCAGCCAGAAATTCTTACCAGTCAATGTAGGGAGAAATAGATGAAGTTAACCTCCCTCCCTGAATGTCTTTGAAATGAAAATTGATTAAACCTTCTTTACCCACAAGCTAAAAATGTTTTCAGATATAAACAGGAAATTTTCAGCTGGGTGTGATTTAAGTGTCACGAGGCTTGTGCTGATCACCCTGCACTCAGGAGAACAAGGCAGGAAGATCACCTGTTTAAAGCCAAAAAAGACTATACAATAAGCCCAGGTAAAACTGTGCAGCTTCTAGGTGTGTGTGTGTGTGTGTGTGTGTGTGTGTGTGTGCAATTTGCACATATTACCTTGGAACTGTGAGTTTGGGATAATCTTTTAAAAACAAATATATTTTGAACAAATATTTTTCTGGTCAAACCTATTAGTGTTGTTTTGAATTCACAGAATACCTGCTGAAGGGAATTTCATACAGGTCGTCTTGCTTAGTTTCAAATTTTCAATTAGAGAATACTATATAAAACAAAAGTCTTGCTGAGAACTCTTTAAACTGTATTTGCTTTCTGTGATTTTTAACATAACACAGACCCATAGACTTACATTTGTGAAAAATTCTGTTAATCTGTTAGAATAGACTGCTGTGACATCATGAAATTTGAAAACAACATTGTGGAAATCTTTCCACCAATTAGCTAGGAAGCTCTAGAATGATAAAAAAATCATATTTGTATGAATATGTGTATGCACATTAGTGAATCCTTGTGAGTATTAAAAAGAATGAAGTAACAAAACTGTGGCAATATAGGTAGTTTATTACCTAAAATTTTAAATAAAAAAGTACTCAGGTAGAGAAATGAATTTTGAGTGTAGTTTAAGCCACTCAATAAAAATAAGAATTTCTATTGATTCTCTTATGAAATATTATTGAAAAGCTTCAGTTACATTCAAATGACTCTCAATGTCCACACAGAATTGATTTAATAAAATCATCATCATTTAATGTATATCATGTAGAGAACTGCTGTAATGAGACAACTGACTTCACAATAACTAAATAATGTACCATCTAGAATTCCAATTTTAGTGTATCATGTTTACCACATTGGTTGATGGGTTGGTTCATTTTGTTTTTATGGAACAATACTGCAAAATATATCACATCTCTGAAGAGTAGTTCTCTTTTTACACATAGTTAAATTGTTTAGTTTTGAAGAAAATAAAGCAGATGTAAAAATGTTATTATTAAATTATAATGATGACAATGTAGCCAAATATGTTACAGAAATCAAGTCCTTGTTGCAGAATATCCAGGATCACTGTGTCAACTCAGTTCTGTTTCCTGTATATTTAAGGCCATCTCTATACATATCATTTAATATCAACCCATTTGTAACATCTGTATCATCTATCTTCTCTATTATCTAATTTATCTGCCTATAATATGTCTATCTATGCTTATAACTAAAACTTATCCATCTGTCATTCACCTATTTACTATCCATCTACTTATTATATTTCCTATCTATTGTATGCTATTTGTCTGTATCTATTGATCTATTGATTGATGTATTTATCTATCATCTACCCATTTTTCTTCTTTACTATCATAATCATTATCTATCTATTGACCTATTTATTTATTTATCTATCTATAATTCTAGCTATCTAATTTTTGAAGCCAAATAGTTGCAATATATAACTTACAGTATCACTTCAAGATTTATATTAGGAAAAATGATGTCCTTGTCATTTTTACTGCAACTAACCAGTCAATTGCATCTCCTCAGACTCAGTAGAATGGCACATGTTTGTATGAGTTCTGTGATTCCTGATGCAATCATCAAACACTATTCTAGGATTCATACAGGGCCACAAAATAAGGAAAGATAAATGAATTGATGCCTTGAAAAACACATGGTTTACTAATTACTAAGAGATAAGCTTTGGTGGAATTTTTTCTATCCTGTTATTCATAGACATATTAATTTTAAAGTTCTTTTTTTTGCATTGAGTGTGGTGCTACTTTGTTAATAGCAGAGTAACTTCAGACAACTGTAGTGAGAACTTCACATTGAACTGCCTGACTATGGTCCATCTTCAGGTGGATCCAATTTTGCAGCATTGTGAAAGCACTACTTATCTTCTTGAATAGATTCCCCCTTGGTGTCATTTAATTCACTCTTAATAAATCATCCCAAACCTCATCTGCCCTTCCCCAGCATTCATTGTCAAGCCCTGGAACATGTGAATAATGTATGTCCTCATCTGATGACACATTATTGTTTTGTATGGTAGAACCACAAGGACTACAAAACAATCTATTTTCAATCTGTTTTCCATTTTCAAGGAGAAGTAAAGATAACCCCACCCCTACTCAAATATCCAACTTACTTGACTTATGAAAATATAGTCTTCAAAATAAATTTACCATTTGTTTTTAAAACTTGCAATTTTAAGACTGTCAAAGTTCATAATGGCAATTATGTTCACAATTATTTTACTGTCCACTGTAATCAACAAAATACTCTATCACATTGGATAAACTTAGTATCATTCCCACCCAAAAACTTCTTTTATCAAAAAAAAAAAAAAAACTGATGTTGGAAGACTGGTTCAAATTGTCTGATAACATCTGCAAAAGAGATTTAGCTTGGAATTTGCCATTCATGGGATCTAGAATGTGATAACTATGACTATTATCAGGTGTCAAAGAGAAGTAAGGCAACTGAACATGGACACATATGCACTGAAAATAAGAAAATCAGGTCCAGGTTAATATTAATTATGCAAGGGAAAATGAGCAAATGGTGATAATTATTTCATTAGAGATAGTGGCTAAGGCTACTGCTGTTGGGAGCTCTCTGAAACAAGGGGAACATGATGATAAAGAGATTGTTAGTGACCCCATGTGTAATGAGGCCTTTACTACAAGAAAAGCAGGGAATGTCTTTAAAATGTGTATTTAGAAAATCCAAGTGTTTCACTAAAAATAAAAAGGCAAACAAATAAGCACCTAAAAGTCTTCAAGAAAGAACTTGGAAGTCAAAAGAACATGGGTGTGTGTTTCGAAGTCATCTGGAATGTAAAAGATGGAAGATGTCAGTGATTCTCATTGTAGATGTGTTTTTTCTTCCTTTAGACATGACACCCATATTTGAATATCTATGGTTACTTTTTTCTAGAAAAGTTAAATGTGATGTAATCATTTTTCTAGATGATTTTATGTTCAGGTTATAAACTTGAAGGAAGGAATTCATAGTATTTAATATTTCTGTTGCCTATATACAGGTACCACACTGAAAGGGGGGAGGGATGAGCAAAAGAGTCAAGACAATGCTGGAGAAACCTACAGAAACAGCTGACCTGAACTAGTGAGAGCACAGGGACCCCAGTCCTAATGCTGGGGAAACAGCATTGGGACAATCCAAGCCCTCTGAATGTGAGTGCCAGTTATGTGGCCTGGGAAGTCTATGGGACCTCTAACAGTGGAGCCAGTGTTTATCCCTAATGCACATATAGGATTTGGGAGCCCATTCCCTAAGGTTGGATACTATTTCAGCCCAGATACATGGAGGAGGGTCTAGGCCCTCGCCAATGATGTGACAGACTGATGATCATTGTCAAATGGGTGAGGGGTGGGGGCATGGGAGGATGGGAATGGGGGAATTGATATGACACATACACACACACACACACACACACACACACACACACACACACACACACGAATAAGTGTACACACAGCTCTAAATAAAGGAAATATATTAAGACACAGTTAGAAATTTACCTCTGCTTTGCTTCATAAACTTGTCAAATTTTCAATTTTGTTGGAAATGTACTGCTTTAAATTTTGTCAAGTTGGACACTGGGATAGTTTAAATCAGAAATATTATTCAGAGGATCTTGTGTTTAAATATTTGGTTTCCTGATTGTGGTGCTGCTTTGAAACTTGTGGAACATTTAGAAAGTAGAATCTTGCTGGAGAAAATTATATCAGTGGAAGCAGGTCTTGAGAACCATGTCTTATTTCTTGTCTACCCTCTTCTTCTATACTACTAATACATGTGACCAGACATCTTATTTTCAGGTTATTGTTTCTTCCATATCATGATGGTTTATACACTCAAAACATGACTGAACCTAAATCCTTCCTCTTTTCAATTTCTTTCTTTTTGTAAAATAAATGTTAGTAGTATGGGCATATAAAATCAGATGTTTTAAAAAAGTAGGATACAGACTCCACAATAGGAGGAGGGCAGTCTTTAATATACAATTTTTCAATAACTGGGTATACAAAGCAAATAACACTATACCCTTATCTTATACCATATACACCATTAGGTTTTACTAAAGAATTAAAACCTTAAAACTGTTGAACTCTTAGAGTAAGCCAGAGGAGCAAATGTTTAGAACACTGAACTTGGGTTTAGAGGGATGGCTCAATGTTTCAGAGCACTTGCTGCTGTTGCAAGAATGGAATTTGGTAACAAGCACCTATGTGATGGCTCACAATTGCCACTAAGTCCAACTCTAGGGTGTCTGACATCCTCTACTGGTGTGGTGCTTCACACGAAAATGGCCCCATGGGCCCATAGGGAGTGGCACAATTAGGAGGTATAGCCTTGTTGGACTAGGTGTGCTTTTGTTGGAGGAGATATATCACTAGGGGTTGTACCTTGAAGTCTCAGAAACTCAAACCTGGTAAGTATCACTTTCACTTCTGCTGTCTGTGGATCAAGACATAGAACTCTCAGCAACCTCTCCAGCACCAAGTCTGCCTGCATCCTGCCATG